TTTGTGGACCCCCGCTGTTTCGTTTATTGAGGAAAATCATATTTACATTTATTCAGTCTAGGAGTCCCATGTGGTGCTCTAGGTAAACTAAGGCTGCCCTGTGTGTGTGTGTGTGTGTGTGTGTGTGTGCACGTGTGTGTGTGAGACACAGAACCCTTTGCCGTATATGAGGCCGCCCAGGAGGAGGGAGAGACCACCCGGGACTGCGAGCAGCTCACCTTCTTCCCCTCCCTGAAGGAGCCGTCGTCCCCCGTCGAGGAACCCTCCGAGCTCTGCTCATCCACGCAGCTGGTGCTGCAGGAGCTGGCTGAGGCTGAGCAGGTCAGTGCTCTGCAGCGGTCTGACGGTGCTTTGCCAGTGATGCAGAACCTGTCACCCAGTGCACAAAGGGTCTCAAGCTAGGCTATGGGAGGGCTCCAGAGATGGCCGAGCTTAAGGGACAGTGCAGAAAGGATCCACATATATCCCCGTGAGGGTCCCGAAACAGCAGGACAGATGTGGATGTGAGGTAGGCTGCAATGGGAAATCGCCCTGGGAAACCCCCGTTTTCCTAATCGTTGTCACCTCACTAGGGGGCAGGATGCCCCCTTTATATCGACCCAGCAGCTGTCCAGCTTCATGCTAACGGGAGGCCCCCGCCTCTTCCCGGGACGGAGGGGCCTTCTCCGCCTCAGCGTCGGGCTGCGTGTGCCTGACAGAAGTATTAATAAAAACGGCAGGGGGTGACATCAACTGTCTTGTATTCATTTAGAGGTTTTTAGTCCTGCTGCGACGCCTGTCAGATGAATCGTTCCTTTCATGCTCATTAATCTACAGGCACAGTTCACGCTGCCTTGCGTGCTTCGCCCCACGCCGGCAAATAATTAGAGGGCCGCAGAATGACAACTCACTCAAGTGTCCTTTTCATGGCGCTAATGAATGAGTGCTGGGGGGCGGGGGGGGGGGCTGGATGTTGGCGGAAGAGGCCACCGCTATCCTCCCGGCGTGACGTTGGCGCCTTACTTATTAAGACCGCTCCGCACGTTGGCTCTAATGCAGCCGGCTATTTACTGAGGCAGGTCTCCAGGGTACGGTGGCTATTCAGTTTGTGACCCTTCGCTCACCTTTTATAGTCCAGGACATGGAGGCATTTTTGCGAGCTGCTGGCTGACCAGGGTGATGCACGCCCAGGGACCACCCTGTTTTTTGTCTCGCTACATTATTATTTCAAAACTATTTAGCGATTTCGTCCCATATTTCTTGGGCACTGTACCCCCCTCTAAGGGTCAAATCTCAGAAACTCCCCGATTTGGAAACCAGTTTCGTACAAATGAGCAGAAAAGGTTTTTTTTTTTTTTTTTAAATGCTGCCCATAATATCTGCAGATGAGCGTCTTACTGAGTGCTGACGCTGTGCCAGTATGAATACGCTCCATCACCTCGCTCTGAGCTGGGTTAGGCCACCGCCTGCTGCACCGGGGTGCTAGAGATATTGTCCCCAGTAAGATAATTAAAAAGAGAGTGAAGAGTGTAAAAGCATTAAAAGTGCGGGTTTAACAGCAGGCCTGCTGGCGTGTGCCCAGCGTTCGGGCACTGAAGGGCAGGAGCACCAGGTGGGCCCTGGTCTGGGAGACACGCATCGAGCTCGCAGTGTTCCTCTGGCGTGTCATTGATTAATACATGCAATAACCACCCGGATCCCGTCACTGGGACCAGCGACGGGGGGCCCGAATTGATCAGTATTAATGGTGTTTAACTGGTGCCCCATATGGTTTGGGAGAGGGGTCCCAGGGGGGTCGGGCCAAGGCTATAGCAGGGAGGGGGCCAGGTGCAGTCAGGCTCTGTGAAATGAACTGGAACAATAAAATTAGTCATGTAAATGAAAGTGTCACCAACGCCCATTCTTATTCCGGGGCTGCATTTTGTACTGCTCAGTCCATGTGTGTGTGTGTGAGTTTGTAATTATTACATTGTGGGGACCTGTAACTTTTCACCTTATGGGGACATTTTTTAGTCCCCACAGGAATTACCTCAATTTTACAAAAATCTGTTAATGCAAACAAAAAACTAAAATAGCCAAAAGTCTTGTATTTCGTTTGATTATGATTAAGGTTAGGGTTGGGTAGGGGTTAAGGCCGTCATTGTTGGATTAGGGTTTTTCCTGGAGAAATTAATGGGGAGTCCCCATAAAGACAGGAATACATGGACTGTGTGTGTGTGCGTGTGTGTGTGTGCGTGTGCACCATGTGTCAGCAGTAATGGAGCACTCAGAATAATCAATCATGGTGTGCCCAGGGATCTCCTGATACCTCCACTCTGAAAAAGGAGAAATCTCCCCTCAAAAGGAGCACTCTGTGATGACATATCATGACACGGACGAGCCGTTCTCCCAGATCGAGGAAGCTGAAGACTGGCCATTTCTGGCTTTCATTTAATTTTTGTATCTGTTAATGTTTTATTGAATACAATGGCAGCCCTCCACAGCGCTATGTCTCCTCTGCAGAGCTTGGCTGTATTCTGCTCACCTGTTGATGAATTCTGCTAGATGTCTGTCTGTTGATGAGACGTCCGTCTGGTCTGTCAGGTGAAGAGCAAGCTGGGCGCGGTGATTGTCAATGGCCACATTGTCACAGAGGGGGTGCTGGTGTTTGGCCTGGCCCACTTCTATATCTGCGAGGGCTTCACACTGTCCTCAACTGGAGAAGTCTGCTGCACATGCCACCACCCCAGCAGGTAGAGACCTACCATCACCTCACCAGACAGGGCAACCTGCCATCTCTCTTATCAACACCATCCTTAGCAGGCGGGGAGAAATAACCTCTCATTATATCACCATTGCAAGGCTGCAATCAATGAAACCCCTTAAATAATTCATCATCAGGGCAGTGTGAAGTTCGGCGGGTTAGGGCCCTTGTCCAAAAGGTCATGGGTTCACATCCCATAGCCAACAGAGTAAGGCCCTACATCGCACCTGCACCATGAATGATGGCTGTCTCTGCTCTCCGTTTCGTACTTTGGACAAAATCTGCTAAACAGATGTAAACATTAATGTGCACAAACACTAAACACATTTCTGATTTCTGTTCCAGTGATTGTCCTTGTTCTTACTTTCTCCTTTCTATATTATTTGGTTGAGTTCCATAAAACTCGGTCTCCATATCTGTACATAATCTGATGATGCCACAGTGCAATTAAAGTAGATATTTTTTATTGTAGCTAATTATTTCCAGCTTCTCACCCTGCGCACACATAAAAACTCGCCAGCGCAGTGCGTGGTGATAAATCCTGCTTTTCTCCTGCCTTCACTTCCAGCTTCAGGGATTCCTTCATTTGCGGCATGCTTAACAAGGACAAATCCGACAGCGGCCCCTCGTGCAGGCGCCACCCTTATGAGGACATTAAGGAGGCGCATTTCATGCGCTTCCTGTTGCAGGTAGGACTTAATAAAGGGGGAGTCGACCGGAGCGATTGGGATCCTGCCCTGAGGCACGAGTGCTTGGTTCAAAATGACTGAACACACGTTAATATTTCCTCCATTTGTGCGTTTACCAAGTTTCTGTCTTCATAACAAGACAACGACCGTGGTGCCCAAATGTAATGTGTGATTTAATTGTTGTGAAATGTGTTTTTCTCCCTTTGTTTGTGGAGCCATTTCATCTGCAAAGCTGAAAAGCAGCCCGCTCACTGAGAGCCTTGGGAACTGCTGCAGTCTGGCTGTGTTACTCAATCTTGCACCTTTTCGTAGGATAACGCCCTGGAAGTCTTCATGCGCAATGGTCAGTCTGCCTTCCTAGTGTTCCAGAACAAGGACCACGTCCAGGCCTTCAAGAAGTAAGTGGGGAAACGTACACCTGCGTCTTCTGTGGTGTCCCCGTACATACACCCCCTCGTGGTGTCCCCGTACATACACCCCCTCGTGGTGTCCCTGTACATACACCCCCTCGTGGTGTCCCCGTACATACACCCCCTCGTGGTGTCCCCGAGCCACCCCCTCCCAGTGACGCGACACTCACCCTCTCCCCAGGTTCTGCTCTGCCGTGCCCTTGCTGAAGGGGAGAGGGATTGCGGAGGCCATCACCAACATCAGGTGAGACTTGGCACATAGGTCTGGGTTAGCCAGTTACCAGCAGCCAGGGAAATGGTCTGTGACATGTGGCCAACAGACATGAGTCACTCCTTTCTCTGTCACTCCTGGCTTTGTCACTCCTTTCCCTGTCACTCCTGGCTTTGTCACTTTGTCGTGACTCCTGATGGGCAGCATGCGGCCCAGTGGGCTAAGTTTCTGTGGCTGTGATTGGAAGGTCGCTGGTTCAAGCCCAGTCTCAGCACCTCTATAGCTCTTTGAGCAAGGCCCTTAACCCCCCCCAGCTCCCTTGGGTGGGTGTCCTTCACAGCCAGCTCTCTCTCACCTACAGAGAACAAGTTGGGGGAGGCATAAAGAGAATTTCCCCACAGGGATCAATAAAGTATCAATTATTATTATTATTTCTCTGTCACCCCTTTTTCTGTCACTTATGGTGGACTAACCGTCACGGCCCTGCAATGACAGAGAGCCAGCTAATGTTCCTCACCTGCAGTTGATTCGCCCGGCCTTTGAAACCCTGTGCTGATGCTGTTCCTCGACCCTGCGTCTTCCTCATAACCCCATTCCTGCCCTGTGTCATTTAGGAAGAGTATGGTGGTGTCGACAGGCAGGAGGCGCTGTGGCTCACTTGCACAGTCCATTGCAGAGGCGCACAGAGTAACTGCCTCTGTGCTGTAAAACTCACGCCACTGTCTGGTCGCTGGGGCCATCCGTCACGCGGCCTTATTGAGCGGCGCGCTGTCAGTTTGCGCGAAAATGCACCGTAATGGGATCTGTGAGCGACCCCCGGCCAGTAGCACGGCGCTTTACTGCTCCGTGTCTGTTCATTGTAGCAGTGAGTGATGCTTTTTTACACACATTTTACTGGTGTCGCTGCTTCAGGAAGATGCCAGTTTGCTTTGTGAGTGTGTGCTTTTAAATATGACACAGAAACAAACATGTGTTGAAGTTTTAATTAGTGTTTTATGACAGCATTGTATTGTGCTCATACTCAAGCTCTGCTACTATTTCTGTACTCTCTAGTCTGTCCCTTTCTAATGACCAAAGGCCATGTCAAACCTCCGACGCAGAAACAGAAATCAGGAGCCAAAGTCATATTAAACACAGAACAGCGCCCCGTTCTTAAATACGTCTTATATTGACCTTTCATATCACACAGATGTAACACTCAGCCATGTCCGGATGGCCCTTAGCCAGAGCTGCTCTCCCAAAGCAGCCACGCTCACCTCCACAGGGCCTGGCTTTCCTGGGCTGTGGAGTTTGGCACGACGAGCCCAGAGAAGGCGGTCCTCCTGTAGGGGACCTGGGCCTGCTTGCTGATCCTCTGCCTCTCCTCCCTGCACTTGCCCAGGCAGAGTTTGCACAGGCTGTCCTCCCGCAGCAGGTAGAGGTGCTCCACGCCGTCGGTGGGCCCCTCCCGCCGGGCCTCGGTGCTCGCCGCTAAGGGGTTGCGCAGGGTGTTGAGTTTGCGGAGGCTGGGGAGACCGCGGATGGCGCTCGGCACCGACGTGAGCAGGTTGTCAAAGAGGCCGAGCTCCTGGAGATCTCGCAGCGCCCCAATGCAGGCCGGCAGGGTTTCCAGCCGGTTCATGCCAAGGTTGAGGCTGCGCAGGGAGGACAGGCGGCCCAGCTGCGGGGGAATGCCAGCGGCGGTCAGCCGGTTGTTGCACAGGTTGAGGTGCCGCAGGGTCTGCAGCCGGCCCAGGGCCTCAGGCAGCTGCTCGATGTGGTTGCTGTGCAGGTCCAGATAGCGCAGGTTGAGGAAGCGGTCGATGCAGTCAGGGATGGTCCTCAGTAGATTCCTGCTCAGGTCCAGCTCATCAACGTCGGCCATCTTCAGCAGGCACTTGGGGAAGGCGTCAATCTTCATGTTACTCAGGTCTAGCCTACGCTTTCCGTCCGCCGTCAGCCTCAGCTGGTTCTTGGCCACCTTGAGCGTGATCTTCTTCCCCTTCGACGCCGCCTTCTTCTTCCCTTTGGCCATGGAGCTGAGGAGAGAGACGGCCGTTCAGTCACCGACACCCGTTCCTGGCAGCTCCTTGAGGAGGAGGGTGGGGGCGCGGAAAGCAGGAATGATGCGAGTGAGAAAGATCAACGTTGTACACCTGGAAGGAGAACGAGGGAGAAGCGTACTGTCTGCATTCCTGCTCGCTCACCCCCTCTCAGCCTGGAGGGATGTCTTTAGATAACCTTAATTAGGGAGAGCATTAATACGCAGGAACTATGGGAAGAAGGAGATGAGTGTAATTTGGGGGAACAAGCGGCTCTGACGGATGGGTGCGGGCGACACGCGCGGCCGCCTATCGATCCGCGCGTCCGCGGCCATGATAGATGACGGTTCGGGGAGTGAATCGGCTTCCTGCACTGTGCTCCTCCTCACTTAAAGCGGGAGTCATTGTTATGAGGCCTCGCGGCCCTTTTGCCGCTCATTAATCATATTCAGGAGCGGGAGACGAGCGGCGAGAGCGTGTGCCCGGCCGCACCCCCGCCCCCCCTCCCCCCCACAAACACACACACACGCACGCCCCATGCGCCGCTTCATTTATGCTTCTTAAAAAACAATTTCAGAACCGGGGCCCTGTCTACAAATTGGGTTTTCCTCCGCTCACCTGAAATATTATGCGCGAGTAGCGCAGCAGCGGTAACATTACCGCGGAGGAGCATTAAGCTGCTAGCTAAACAAACGCATAAAAAAAACAGCTCATCCTGTGGGAAGTCAGTGATTTTCTAGATGAAATACACCATGTCATTTAAACATTTGATGTGCTCTTTGGAACAAAAACTGTGAGGGTTTGGCTATATTGACATGACTGATTAATAAAAAAAAAACTGAAATTACTGAAAGGTGATTTAAAAAAAAAAAAAAAAAGTTTAGTTCATTTTTTAAAGACGTGTTATTGTGTTGATTGTCCAGAGCCCACAGAGCTTTGTTCCTGTCAAACAAAGCAGCCCTTCAGTGCAAGAGAAGCTATAATCCCAGTCTGAGTACAGCCACTTGCTTGTTAATTATCACTGAAAACACAGCCTGATAGCACAGGCTGCTTTGACTTCTCTTGCAAGGCAGGGGATGGAGCGGCGTGGGATGCACACGTTCTGCATTCTGGGTTATTAGTGACGGTGTGCTAATACTCACCCGCTGTGATTTTCCTTCCCTGATGTGCCTCTAAGGAGGAGATGTTTTCGGAGCCCTTCCGATTCCCTGAATTCAACTGGGTCTTCAGATAAAAAAAAAAAGGGAAAAGTAGCTGTTTGTTAAGAATGGAGACAGAAAATTCACGTTGCTGCTCTCCCACATGTGGAAGCATGCGAAGTGGACTTTGTTGTTTGACTTTGTTACTAGGCAACAGAAATCTGGTGCCTGTTGTCTGTTACCATGCCGATGACCCACACAAGGAGGATGGCCTTTTGTTCTGTGCTGAGCCCCTCGTAGCCCCTCACTGATCCCCTAGGTAGACGCACCAAGACTGATCATTTAGGCTGAATTATAAAGTAGCTCAGAGTTTACAGTCCAAAAAACAAGCTGACATATAGCCAGTGCTGGGCACTGACTGACTCTGGTAAAATGCCTTTTTCCATCCATCCATTCATGCTTGCTTGCCGCTTATTCTCATGGGGGCCCTGGGGCCTAAATGGATTTAGAGTGAACACAACCCCAGTGATACCGATTCATGTGCAGTTAAACTAAATGTGGGGGGAAAAGCTGTCATTGTTTTCAGTTAAAAACATACTGATTAAAATGTGCAAATTACCTACGTGTGACGAATCCTCAAATTTCAGTCAATAGGGCAACTGACTTTATTTGTATCTTTGTCTGTCATCGTGAGACAGTCAAAGGGAAACTGAAATTGCACTTCTATTTTCCATAGCTATAAGCTGTTGTATACAACATGCTTTCTGGGGTATTTAGATGCGTCCTGTAGACTGTCAGATGGTCTTTCAGAGACAGTCTGCAGAGGGCGCTATACACTGTCTTATCACACGCTTATTTTCTTTAGTGGTGAGTAATAAGTGAAGCTGAGGTTTTTCTGGATACTGCTGCTTGGGGTCTAAATGCTTTAAAATCCTCTTTTACTCTGTAACACTGCAGTCCTCTGCCATCACAGAGGCACTGAAAGCCCTTATTGTGTCAGTTACCATTAGGGATTCTAAATACAGCTCTGAAACGGTGAGCCACAAAGATCTGTGACTGTAACTAACAGCGAGTTGCAGGTGGGAGCAGCTGAGATATAACACAATTTAAAGAAAATACATTTTTTTATGGTTCAGAAGTGAATATTTCATTCAAAATGTAGTGGGTGATACTTTATTCAATACACTGTTAAATCCTTGTGAGTCTAGTGAGAGTAATGTGAATGCATATTGCCTTGAATGTGTAGTGCAGAATACTGCTAAGATATCCTGCATGTATTGTTTTTAGGAAAGCTGGTGGTGATAAGAATGCACTCCATAGATGGCAGGTACGGTACCGAGTCACAGTAACCCTACCGAGTCACAGTGATTTTTCAGTAAAACTAAAGAAAAGAAACAGTGGTTGCCATTGATTATAAAACATATAATGTCACACTGTGATTATCTGAATTCAGCGCAAACAGCAAGCTTCCTGGTTACCCGGACTGTCCGCTAAACTTGTTGTTAACTGGTGCACACTTTAGTTAATAGTGTAGTTTTATAATTACAGCCATTGAATTGTCAGCTCAGAGAAGCAGTTGTCTCATATGTGTTCTCTTCAGCTCCTGTGTGGAGTTCGTCCTTCATCAGCTAACTGTTATTTGGTGTATATTTTTTAAAATTCGATTGTCTTATAAGAGGCTGAGCAGGGTGATGTACCCCTTACAGAAAGGAGAGATGACTAACTTCGAGTACCTCATGCACCTGAACACCCTGGCGGGACGCACCTATAATGACCTCATGCAGTACCCCGTGTTTCCCTGGATCCTGGCAGACTACGACTCGGAGGCGAGGCGTCATCTGGATTTGCGTCCTCTCTCTGTTGAGCTCTCCAGTTAAAAACTGCCTTTAAAAGTGCCTTCTCCCACCCCTACCCTGTTTTTGCAGACAGTGGATCTGTCCTCGCCCAATACCTTCCGAGACCTGTCCAAACCAATGGGGGCCCAGACTGACAAAAGGAGAGAGAGGTTCATCCAGAGGTACAATGAGGTGGAGAACAATGACGGTGAGAATTCTGGTCTCCTTCTTCAGGCCATGGGCCAGGCCACAGGCCACTCCTATCTAGACCCTGTCAATTTGCTGGCAGGAGCATGCCTGCCCCTATTTATACCCCACTCATTTACTGGCAGGCATGTACCAATCTGCCATTTAGATCATGCCCATTTGCTGATGGTAGCATACCAAGCTGCCATTGAGGCCCCGCCCATTTGCTGGGAGGAGCATACCAAGCTG